GTGCTGGGAAATCATTAAAGACTTTATTGAACTTTGCCTATCAATCTCATGGATACTTGTTAACAAGAATCAATTTACAGAAAAACAAACTTACCCCAAAATATGTTACACAAACTCTAGTTTTGTTTTGAGTTATTAGGAAGAGGATGCTCTCACTTGAATCATGTCATTGCATAGACAGCTAGTGACCAGTTGCAAAGATTACTTGTTCCTCATTTCATTTTCATTTTCTTATTTGATGGGGATAATTGTGTATTGGGTTTCCTGGATGCTTTATCTGCATTGCAATACCATCCAAGCTCCTAGGTTTCCTTACCGAGTCTCTTTTTTGGGTTTAGGTGGCCATGGAACTTTTTCTCCCATTCTTTTTGGTGGTAGTAGCATACTATTATGATTAACAACAACAAATATTCTAACCAGCAAGTAAAGTATTATAAGATTCAAAAAAAAAAAATGATCAGTTGCGCAATAATCACCAATTTCTAGAAATTAATGCTAGAATTAAAAATACTGGATCTCTTCAACTACTTCTAACCAAGGGGTAAACTTAAAGCTACTTCAAATTTTGTACGCATTCAAAAGATGTGGGAGTTTTGAAGCATGTGCAACACTTATCTTTGTGTATCATGGTAAAACTTAGGGCCAATATCTATCAACTTATAGGAAGATTAACATTTCTAGTAGTATGCCTAATATTATTCACCGGCCATTTGTATTTGTAAGACAGTCAATGTAGGGATGCTCCTTTTTTAGGATCTTTCTTTTTCGTTATTGGATTAGGAAGTCATCGGGTAAATCAAGAATGTCTAAGTGGCAAATTTTTTATTGGTCTCTAAATGCTACTTGGTTTCACTGATTTGTGTATTTCCAAATGATTCCTTGCAGTATCAAGCAGATATTTGACATGGCTTGTGCACTTTCTGATTCTAAATATCTGATTGTGCTCAGTGAATTACAATGGCTTTGTCAACTGTTTCTATAATTCAACACCAGCCTTGAACCTTCCAACCCGATCACCAAGTTTGTGAGGGAGGGAACCGGACAAAAAGTAAAGGTGGTTGGGGGTGGAGATCCTTATATTCCATTGGTCTGACTATAGATTGTGTAATCTTAAGAGGTGAAATTTTTGCTTAGTAGAAGGATTTCTGTCACACTCAGGTTTAAAGCTATACTCCATCTCCAACATGAAATAATATTAGATAAGTTTACATGCATTCAGATGGGATGATTGTACAGTTGCAATATAGTAGCCCCATTTCTGAACTTAGGATTTATATAAGCTGTCTTCAATATGAATATTTTAGTCAACTTCCTTAAGTACTCCTTAATATTCATAAAGTCGAGTTCCTTCACTACTCTGGCTCATTCATCTATCAATATTTGTTTGAATCCACCTTGAAGGACATTATGGTTGTGAAATTTGGCCTCTGACAGCAAACAGAAAAATAGAGGTCTTCTAATCAATAAATTGGTTGAAAAGGAAAATCTGTAAAAGAACTTTTAATCTGAAAAAGAGCCACTTGGAAAACACCATCAATAATTCTTTGAGACCTTCTCTAATTGTGGTCATTGAGCATAATTTGTATCGAGTAGGACATGGTGCTAACCAATCAATTGTTAAATGAAACTTAGAAACCTATTTTCAGTGGCAGGTTGCCTTATGCTATTGTCTTGCTTGCCTAGAATTGTTCTTTCCAGTTTCAGATTTTATCCAAGCTTGCTTGTTTGTTGGATATTTTATCTGCATATGCTTACAACATATTTTGGGCTTGCAGGTACCCAAAGGGTGGGACAAACTTTCTGTATCTCTTGTTTCCACAGAAACAGGAAAAACTCTAAGCAAATCAGGTAAAGGATCAGTGCAGAATGGAAGTTGTCGATGGACAGAGACTTTATCAGATTCTATACGAATCTCCCATAATGATGCTTCAAGAGATCTGGGGGAATGCCTCTTTAAGCTTCTTGTTGCCATGGTATGATGCCTATATTGATCTTTCATGTTTCACTTGAATCTGATAAGCTGTGTAGAAAGCATATTTTTCTCTCTTGTTTCTTCCTTTATTCTCCCCATCTAATTGATGAATGAGCCCACCTTATATGATGTGATAATCTTAGGGATCATCCAGATCCGGTATACTAGGAGAGGCTACAATCACCTGGCAGGTTACATGACTTCAAAAGCTTCTGTACCTGTTTCATTACCTTTAAAAAAGTGCAGTCACGGGACAATTTTACAAGTGAGTCATTCCCGAATGCTTCCATATCTTGTTGTTTATCACTGATTCTTGATGCAAACACTTTATTGGTATATCTCTCGTAGTTGATTAAACTTTGTCATCTCTAATGATCAAGATAAGTTATTGCATTACATTTATACTCAAAGAAAACCTTGCTCTATTTTTCAGCCTTGATATTTGTGTAACCTTTTATAAAACTCATTGCTCTCATAGCCCAGAAATATTGGATAGCTCTTCTGTTGCACCATTTTGGTATGCTAACTTAGCCTTTTTAAAATTATGCGTTTCACAAGCTTGTATCGTTGTTTATGTCTCTCTATAGTACTCTTCAGAAAAATAGAGTCCCTCAAATATTTGTCAGAAGATCTAATCAAATGCTGATTGGTCTTTTGAATCAATCATAGCCTCCTTCACACTGGTGACTCTTCTATTGCAAACTTGCATCTTATGAGCATTTTTGTGACCAATTTCAGTTCCCAATATGGTTCAAATACTGTTCATATTTATTCCAGAGAAGCTTTTGAAACCTTAATGGTTTTTCTTCGTCCGAGTCTTCTTTCTTTAGGGAGTTTTATGTGTTCTCCACCTCCAGTTGTTGTCTAGCCAATTGTACCACTCCACCTAACACATGACTACATTACTCAAAGCGTAACAAGCACCATTGCAACCATGGGGGTGTACAAACCCCATGACTGATACATAAAACTGTCACCCATCTCCTAACAAGCACCAGGAGCTGCAGCAGGCTAATCTTGACTTTATCTCAATGCTCAATCAAAGCCTGTTCTGAGTAAGCACATATTCTAAATACATCATGCACTATAATGAAGGAGCAACTTTTTCAATTGGTAAACATGAATTTCATTGAAAAATTAAAATTTTCAACCAGCAAGTATGAATTTCATTGAAAACAATTTAAATCTCTTGACTGGTAAATATGAATTTTGTTGATGAAAATATATTTTTTATTGGGAAAAAGTAAATTTCATTGAAAACAAATAATTCTTTTATTTGGCTTCATTTAAAAACTATTTTTTTACATGTAAATGTGAATTTCATTCCAACAATAAATGAACTTGCTGAAATATTTAGTTCATTGGAAGAATATTTTTTTTTTGAGCTGTGAATATGAATTTCATTAAAAAAAGCTAAAGTTTTTGATCAGTGGATTTGAAATCCAATGAAAAACTAAACAAATTTATTCCCGTATTCTCTTCCACAAGAGGGGGGGGTGCTATGTCAGTGTACAGTGTACTCGTAACTATCCATAGTGTTTCTACTGCAACGTGTGCTGTTTTTTTTGGTTTATTTTCTTTGAAGTTAGTAGATAATATAGTGTTTTTGCTCTCTCTCTCTCTCTCTCTCTCACCGGCTATGGAACCTACCATTTCTGATATTCAAATCACACTTAAATATGTTAAATCCATGGAAATCTACCCGATATTAATATATGCTAACTAATATGGTGTATCTGATTGCAAGAATTATAGTTCAACGCTTCCCTTGTTAGACCAATCTATTGATCAACAAGTCACATACTCTCAAAATCCCACTCAAAAGGACCTGAACTGGACTCCATCATCCATGTTTAACTGGATAAAGTTGTGGCTTTTGGTCTTGTTGAGATGAATATGGTGCTTTCCCTAGATTTTAGATTTCAGGTTAAACTTCAATGACTAAAGGGGATGTAATCTAATCTGTGGAACTAAAATTGCCGAAGTCTTTCTAAATCTGACCTACACCTTTCACAAGGATTTGTTACTAGAAGTAAGAATAAACTGGCTATATAAAGAGACCAAATTTGGTTTATTTATCTTTAAGCATAAGCTGCCACTGAAGCAGAAGTGTCATTGTCATTCTGTCTGCAGGTTGAAATTCAGTGCCTAACACCAAGAACAATTGTCAGGTTTGTTGTTTTAACACAAGACTTAAGTTTTCTTTGATTTTCTGCTTTTCTATGTGGTGATAAAACAGTTAGTGTCAAGCTTTCAGGGATGAGAAATGCAAAGACATGAATTCCCATGCAGAAGAGGCAAATGTGGATTATGATGACATCGAAAGCAAATCGGACATGTCTGATAATACTTTCACAAAGAGTGTTGGATCTTTGTCAAGTAACCCTTTTGGCAGTACATCTCAACCAGGAGAACTTTGTAGCAGGGTATTGTCAACATACTCCTTTTTTCAGAGCTGAGATGGATCTATCCTATGGGAACTGGGGAAGGGAGGGAAAGGAGGAGGGGATTAGTCCACCCTCCTCAACTTCTACACATCTTAGATGTTGGACAACTTGTGACCAGCAAATTTTTGACATTAGGATGTGAACTTCTTATAATATGGAAAACAAGAGAGCATAACTGTTAAATTAAACTAAAATGAAGGTTCTTCAAAATTCAATACAGAACATTGATCATACTAAAAAAAAAAGCAGTCTTGGGCATGAGGCTTCCGCTATTGTGGGATTTGGGGAGGGTCAAATCTACACGGTATTATCCTTATATGTAGAGAGACTGTTTCCTGACTCAAACTCATGCCGTAATGTTCAAGTCAGGATGTAGCAATCTTTTTATCACATTTCAAGACAATGATAAGACACTAGTTTTAAAAGGAGCGAGCAACTGAGAATTACTAGAGTAATTAAATTATCTGAGTTCATATATATATATATACATATAATAAAATACATGGGAAGTTAAATTTTATCTCCTATATATTTTTCCCACCAAAACCATCACATCACCTATTTCTATCACATGTGAGAAAATTTTATCGAATTACCTATTTCGATAAAATTTTATCAATATTTTTTGAAAAATTAAAGAGTAAAATAAATTTTGAATGATGTAATCAAAGAAATGAAAGAAAAAATTATTATTTAATATAGTGAGATCAATTTTTGGGGGGCTCGAATTTTATGTTCTATCGTGCCTTCAGGCATGGGTTATATTTAGTATATATATATTATATGTGCATATTTAATATATTATGACTTGTTTGTTTATTTGTCTTAGGTGATCAACTAAGTAGGAATTATATTTCCCTGTTACTATGTCCTTGCTATGTTTGTTTTCTGCCTTTTCTTCCAATTTATGTGTGTAGACATTTGTGTATATGCTTCACAGCTATGATGTATGCTTGAATATTTTGCTTAACTTTGATGGGGGGAATTTTCTCTGTAGGGGGGTATGAAGAGAACACTTGATGATTTTAGGGTTCCAACAAAATGTGAAAACTTATACAAGTAGAAGGGGCTTGTTTCAGAACTATCAATACTTTGAGGCAGGTAATGCGGAACTATGTGAAATATGATAGGGAATATAATCAACGAATGGAGAAAGTTGGCCAGAGGCCTCAAGAAGCACTCAATAAAAATAAGATGTCAGTTTCATTTAGGTAATAGAAAAACCAAAAAATATAAGTAGGAGCAAATATTAAAAAGAGACTTTGGGGTCTCCAGAGTCAGGAAAACTCGCTTGGGAGAAGAGAATATTCTGAAATCTAATTTGTGAAATTTTTGTCATTTTTGGGAATTTTTTTTTTTTTTTTTTGTTTTTTTTTAAGGGGGGGGGAGCACAACCCCTGATGGCCAAGTAGGAGACCAGTTCATGTCTTGAATATTTGATTTAGCACACAAATGCGACATACTTTCTTTTTTGGTGTGCATGATCCTGATTTCCCAACTACCTAGTATATAGCCTAGGGTCACATTAGACATTTCAACACATTGATTTCAGCATTGGCCTTTATACATAATTGCTTTCTAGTCAATATCTGAAAAATGCAGCTTTTGTGGGCTGTCCATGAGCCAGGGAGCATTTCCCACAACTTCTTTCTTGCACACCAAGTTTCAGCTTTGTCAGAAAAATTATGGCAAGATTTATGCTGTAATTATGGAACCTTTCCAGTAGCCAAGTTTCGTAAAACATCTCAGTTGTGCTTTCACTGCAGATGGTCGTCCAATCCTTGCTTGTATTTGTGCTGTGGTTCCAGCAGTTCACAACCAGTGTAGTGTGTAGTATATTTACCAGCAGTTTTATCTTCATTTTTTTATCCGCAATTTTCTCTTTCTTATCGTGGAAACAGCCTCTCCACGTCCGAGAGTAAAATTTCATACATCTGACCATCCCCAGATCCTGCAGTGATGGGAGTCTCATGCACTAGCCGTCCCCTATTTTTTTTTTTCTTATATCATAGCTATCAAATTAGATAGAGAATTTATTCTTATCTTTTGACAGATATCTCTTGGCACACTGATTATTCTGGTCTTTTCCACAGGAGACAAGTTTCTCAGCATCAGGTTCACATCGTAGCTTTGACTCCATGGAGGACTCTTTAGGCAGGGAAAGTTTTTCCCCTCAAAGCAACTTAAGTGGGACTGTGAGCAATATGATTGGGAGGCAAGATTCAGTGGGCTCCCAAATCTGTGCATCTTACGGCTCTTCTCATGTCTATGATTCTCCTGGATCTAGTCATTCCGCTTCTAATTCAGGTATCTCAGTTTCAGGCAAGCATATTCAGAATCCAAAAGAAGACTTTGGACGAATGTCACATGCTGTTGCTACATCACCTTTACGGAATACTAATTCCTCTAAAATCTTTTTGGAATCTGAAGAATTTAGAGCAGAAGCTAGGATATGGGAACAAAATGCCCGGAAATTGATGCTTGATTTGGAAAACTTGAGGCAGGAATTTGCTGAACAGTCAAAACGCATGGCCAACCTGGACATGGAGCTTGCTGCATC